CAAAACATTTCAGAAGAAACAATGGAACTCGTAACTGCTAATATTTTAGTATTAATATTTGGGGAGACCTATTTTCTCCCCAAAAACAAGACTGGGAGGTAGGTTGGGTTAAAAGAGAGAAAGTGAGTGGTTCAAAGTCACCACAGAGTTTCTGTGGCTGAGAATATACTAGAACCTGGATCTTCTCACTCCCAATTCAACATCTTAAATTACACCATACAGGGACTACAATTTTATTAAAATTGTCCAACATTTTAATATTTCATCATGACTTATATAAACATGTTTGTTCTTTCCCCCTTTCTCCCCATCCTACTGCCTTTTGAGAAGAGAACTGCAGGACTGTTAAATAAATCTGCTCTTTTTTCTAATCAGTAAATCCCATTTTGAGGATTTCTAGTTCAAAGGAATTGAGCCTTATCAAGGCAATAGTACTGGGGGAAAACTGTGAAAAGAACTAAGAAAAGACATTATTAAGATGAACAGTAGAAATTTGCTGATTAAAAATAACTGGAAGGAGCATTCAAAAAGAGATTATTGGGCCTAAATTCTAGAAAATATTACATAGGACTCAATGTTTTGATGGTTACAAATACTCTAAAATTATATTGGAAAGGAAAATGATGAACAGAAAAAAAAATGAAGTCCAGAACTTAAATTTTTTGGTGGAATAGTAGACAGCGGATAGGAACAAGAATGGTTACTGTTAATCAAGACTTTGAATCCTAATGTCATCAGTTCCTTTAAAGACTGATCTCTGAATGTCTCCATTGTGCTAACAAATATCACTCCACCTATATGTACTTTATAGACCTATATTTGATATGTTTATTGTTTGCCCTTTTCACCCAGGAAATTTTGAGAATATCCTCAATTTAACATAACAACTGGCTTCACACTTACTAACTAGATGAAGTATGTGTGTTTGAGGTCTGCTGCCATGTTCTAACATGGCAAAAAGTATATTCAAATATTAACCTTAGTTTTTATTTCTCCTTTCTATCCTGTCCCTGATCAGTTTTCCTTATGTAGTGACACGTTTTTGAAAGCATTCAGCTTATATTGTGACTCTTAAAATTGCCTTAATGTCATTTGATTTTTGTCCCCAAATAAATTACAATCACAGCTGATCTTAGCTGTCTCAAAAAACCTTGTGAGTATTTGGATAAGAAACTGTCAGCCTCTGCTTTGCTGCTGCTTCGGCTGCCATGAAACGGGGAGAGGGGCATGGTATTTGGGAATGTGCTGGAGGAAGATTCTAGACGCTGACCTGACCATCTTATTGCGCATGCGGAGGAAGGGAGTTTCCCACCAAGGTTAACTGTCCAGCATTCCATCCTGGTGATGTTTTTTGAAGATATCTCCCACCTGACAGTTGGGTGAATTATAATTGGACTATGGACTGGGGTGCCAAGGGGAGGGGATTGAATTATACATGATATTCTTTGCTTTCGCACCTAATTAACCAGATTCAGCTTAGCTTCGCTACTGTTCATTTGTAATTAGTAAAAGTACACTTAATTTCAAACAAATGGAGTTGAGTGGTTTCTTTCCTGATTATTAAATGAAGTCGCACCTGACAATAAGCTGAATCTCACCTCACACCCAACCCGTAGCGAACAACTACCGAGGGGGGTGCCCTCATAGAAAGAAAAGAAAAATGTCTTTGCATGAAAGCGACCAGGAGGAAGGCATGGGTGCAACAGCAGCACCATCTCTAACAGAAATGGTAGCCGACCTGAGAGTGGAAGAACCTGCCGTTCGTCCCAGATGGACTTGGGGTGTGG